GGGCCCCCGGCCATGGGTGAGAGCGAAGAAGGGATAACGGGGGCCACCTGCCCGCGCCCTCCTCCCACCCCAGCCGCCGGCTCAGACGGCTGAGCCATCGACGAGGGAGAAGCAGTCTCCTGACCGTCGGGGAAGAAGGAGGAACCAGGGCCTCCTGCCCCAGCACCCCCCCCCAACGCAGCTGCTGCCACGGTGGTTACCGCCACCATCGGAGTAGCAGGAGCCGAGGCCGCCTGCCTCGGGCTCCCTCTCCCAGCACCGGCTGACCCCCTCGGGGCTGGCGTCACCGACGCCACCGAGGTCGGGATGGGGATGGGAGAAGACGGGGCCACCTGTCCCGAACCCCCTCCCCCACAACTCATCACGCACGCAGTCGCCGACACCGGAGTCGCGTCCACGTGAGGCGCCAGGGCAAGAGAAGCACCCTCCGGCCTCCTCACCGTAGCCCCGACCAAAGTCCTCGTCGGCCGTCCAGCAGACAAGCAATCATCCCCCTCGAACTCCAACGGAGGGAGCGTGTGCTCAAGGTAATCATCAGAATCTACCCGGTCACTCCATAGTCTGGGAGGTGCCGAGGCTGGCTCAAAGGACCCAAAACGCAGAGTAGTCATGGGCACCACTGGTGATGCTGCAGGCTCAACCCCGGTCCCATCCCCAGGCGACTGAGCTGGGTGAGAACCGTTAGACCCCTCTCGCGTGGGCTCATCTGACGGTGACCCCTTGGCCCCCGTATTGCCATCTCTGTCATGCATGTCAACATCGTTACGATTAACCGCATCAGCAAATAGATCAGTGTCCTCAAACTCAATCTCAAGCGGGAACACCTCTCCCCTATAGGGCCAGTTGACCTTATCAGGCACGAACTCAATATCCAGAACACTCACTAAAATCCGGGCCACCCCATGGGCACGTGTGAAAGCCATATCCACTTTTTCTGTCTTCCCAACCATGATGCCCATACTAGCCACCACTCGAGCATCCTGCAGAGGCTTAGATGGAGCCCCTAAAAACCGCAACCAGACCTGCGTGAGCGGCTTTCCCTTAGGCTCAACCTGCTTCCACTCGTGGAACTCCAGGATACACGTAGTACCGGGGACTCTACACAAGCCAAAGCTTAACAATTTCTGCAAATCCTCCACAGTAGGGAAATCAACCTTAAAAACCCTGTCCTCGATAGGCACCAATTCCCATCTAAAATCCCCGGGAACCAGCTCTTGAAGCCTCCTCACAATCTGTGCCTCAGTCATCGCGCCCTGGGTCACTTTCACAGTCCCAGTAGTCAAGCTCAGGATATCTTCCGGGACCTCTCTCGCCGCCGGGGACTCAAAAAACATGAGCTCAGCACAATAGACTCCATAAATATTCAGCGCCGGGGGCAGGTCACGCAACGACAGGCACTCCCCGGAGTCATGTGCAGGCTTGCCACACGACTCACACAGCTGGGCCACACACTCAGCAATGAAGTGGCCCTTCTCACCACAACGGTAGCAAATCATCCTCTCATTCTTACTCGCATATTTGGACGCCCTCTCGGCATCAGACCTGTCGTTAGTCTCATCCACCGTCCCAGCCTCACGAGCCTCAACACTGGCCAAGGCGTTCACCACCTCCATCGCCTGGGGAGGAAGCTCAGTGGCAGTATGGCCAGGCTCCACTGTAGACGCCGCAGGATCAACTGCCCGAGGCGGGGGCGGTCGGCGAAATCTCCCATGGCCCCCACTCCGACCACCACGATGGCCACGAAAGCCTCCTCTCTAACGGTTATCCGGGCCGAAGGCCCCCTCAACAAAACCACCTGCCGGGCCGAGAAACGGTCCAATGATCCGCCCCGAGGCCAGTGGGGGGATGATGGGTATAATGCATATGGTGACGGACAGCACCGAGGATCTTCTTCTACGGGAGGAGGTCGTGGATATGCCTGGCAAAGCGACGGGTTGGCTGAGTGCCGTGGATGTGTGGATTATAAAAGGAGAGAGGCGTGTAAAGCGCCGAGGCACGAAAATGACTAAGTCACACGAAAATTCGTGGATCGGTTGCTGCGGTTGACGGACACCCTAACCGACAGCCTAATGACGGCCTGGATCGGAATTAACAACGGTTGCACAAGTTATCCACGATTGAAGCCTTCGATCGAGAACAACTACGGGAAGGCGTACTAAATGTGCCGTGCGTAACAGTTCACAAACTGCCCTGGTTGATCGGTCACCTGCTGGAGAGGCGAGTTAGGTCGCATTCATACTTAAAGTGCTGGTTGCAACGCATGATGGAGATGCGTATGCGTTGCATCAACTTTGGTGAGGAGTTCAATGTGAGGGTATGTGCAACTAACTCTTGGCTAATCAGCTTGCTTTTGCGATACGAAAGATCAATTCCGCCGTTTGTTTTCACGTGCTAATCAGTTTGTGATTTTATAATTCGAAGCACGAGAAATATACCGAGTGAAGCGAACGTGTGGCTGGTGTGTTCTGCACCCTACGATTCACAGCGGGAGCGCTGCTAATGCTGATGCGTCCATGCATTCACACAGACGCCACGCTCTAGCCGTCGTCGCGCACTGTTGAGTATTATGTTTAGTTAGAAAATACTACCTTCGTGCTGGTTTTTTTCAAAAAGAAGGAATACCTCCGGCCTTTGCACCTCTGGGTGTACACGGCCATCTTCGTTCTGATTTATTGGTCCTCATTATATTGTGTGCTAAATTTTAATCATAAATTTAATTAATAAAATATTAATGCATGTCATAAAAAATCATTCATGTATCATTGAAAACTATGTTCAAATATCAATCCAACGATTGCATCGACCCACGCTCCGCCGCCCATCGGGGCATAGCGACATGGCTCGCGGTCCCCACCGTCGCTTCGAGGTCTTCTCATCGTCGCCCCGACCCACCTGCTGCCGCCGCGTCGCCCCTTCGGCCCGTAGCGTCGTGGCCAGTGATCCACTCCGCCATCCCAGCGTGTCGACTTTACGTGGTATGAGCCGCGCCGCCTGTCCATCCCCTTCGTCTTCGTTCAGTGCCAACTTGTCACCAGTGTCGCCGTTATCTTTCCCGACCACTTCATCTACTCCGACCACCGTTCGCGACATCTGCCCCTCGCCGCTTGGCACCACAACCATCGTCGAGTTCTTCTCTGCTAGCCCCTCCGACTCCTCGACATGGCGTACAGTTCGTGCAGGTCCCTCGTCTACGCATGCTCGGTGCTGGCAACACCGACGCGTGCTTTCGTGCACGACATGTCCCCGGGCCTGGCAAGCCTGGAGCGGCGCTTCGTCAACTTCGTCTTCGTCTGTCTACGCATGTCCGGTGCTGACAACACCGATGCGTGCCTTCGTCCATGATGTGTCCTCGGGCTTAACAAACCCAGTGTGATGCGTCGTCAACAACGTCTTCTTCCCGACGCACTACTACTTCAACATCACTACGCCCATGACTAACTCGGCGCCTCCTTACGTCCGCGGCTCCACGGTGACTTCCTCGACACCGGCTATCCCGACTCGACATCGACCACGGCGCACTACACGCGACTACCTCGACCACGGCTACACCACTCACGCTCTCAGCTACCTCGACAAATGTCATAAAGGGCTACCGCTTTGCTTGAGCAGCCACGTCGGTTTCCACCACAGCCACGCCTTCGGCGATGCATCGACCGTTATAACTATGGGGGGTGTCCGTCGGCTTGCCTTCGAATTCTTCTCCAGTCTCACCGTATGTGTTGCTACCGTTGTGACCGCAGGGGATATTGAGTATTATGTTTCGTTAGGAAATACAAGATAGACTAGGATTTGTTTTGACTTGTCTTGTATTTTAAATTGATTATTGTAGTTCTATATATATACACCCAAGGCTCAAGCAGTAAACATCAATCACACCAACGCTGGTCGCGCCTGGTAGCGGTTTTTTAATAAGAGAGAGAAAGGTCTTCAAGAAATTAATTTATGGTTTGCCTAAACTGAAAGAGTCTTGGACATTATACAGCGCAGCAGTTGGGCATACCGTGACACGGACATGTGCCGTCTAGTACACCGCGTGGCGCGTTTGTACATCCTGCCTTCTGCGAGGCCAGCCAGACCGGAACTTGTAGTATAGGGTACTCGACGACAGCTGGGTTTCTGAACGGCAAAGCTGTTGAAATTCAGCATATTTCTCGCTCACAAGTCGCAAAACCACATGCAGATCAGATCGCTTCGCGCACAAAAGTCTCCCTTCTCGCTGTTCGTCCGTGCCGAGTTAGCGCGAAAACAAATGCTCGCAACGTGATCTGGGAGCAGGCATTATGCCTGGCGCTAGTAGCAGCATTTGGGCTAGCTGTTGTTGCTTGGTGCGGCCTGAAACCCTCATTTTTCTACGGTTGGCCCCTGGACATGGCGCATGTGAGATTTGGGAGCTATCGATCACTTGTGTTCTTGGTCAGTTTAAGGAGCAGCTGCTAGCGTGCTGCATTATTGGAAATATTGTTGAATGCTCAAGGGGCCGGGCTGCCCGGATCCAGTCTCAACTTGTTTATTTGTACCCATAAGAAATGGTAGATCAAAACTCTGCTGTTAAACGTGGTTTAGCCGGCATCGGTATTGTGGCGGTGGCATATGTCATAGTTCTGGAGGACGTTTTCGCGAATCAAAATTTTCCAGTAGCTATATGGAGTATTATTTGACATCAAATCATTGAGTAATCTTAACTCAACATAATTGAGCAACAGCAAACTGGGCCTTACTTAGTAAGAAGTTCTAGTTTAGTTTCAAAGGTTTCTTGTTCTTCTAGGCAAACACCTAAGGGTGTTCTCCTGAATCGTAGTATTAAATTGTCAAATCTTCGAGGAATCACAACACTCAACGGAAAACAGGTTACACACTCACACAATCCAATTTTGCAATCGAACACAAATATATAGGGTACGTAGCATTTATGTGGTTTGCAGTCCATTTGCTTTTGTTCATCTAGCGCAGCTTCTCTTGGCTATTTGCTCGTGGTCTCTTTCTCCGAGTTGTTTCTTCCATCATCTCCTCAGGCCGAGCAGTCCAAGGAGTAGAAGTATGTAGTTCGTGTTGAAAACATGTCTCAACATCCTGATTTTACTGTCGTCCCATGGCGGGTATCTGAACATGAACTCGATTAGGAAGCTTCTCTTGAACACTGCCTTTTTGTTACTGAAAAGCTCAAAGCTGTATTTGCCATGGTACTGTCCAAACCCGCTTTGCCCAACGCCACCGAACGGGAGGCCTTCTACTGCGTACTGCAACAACATACTAGTCAAGATTAGGTCAATCTCAACAGTAAAAAGAATGAGAACACTTCAAAGATTTATGCTGCGAAAACGCGTGTAGTTTGGAGGAATGAGGTGGATAAGTTTGCATGCCTGCACAATTGCGTCGTTGAATGTGATACTTCCAGATGATGTTTCATCTATAATCCGGTGTTTTAGCTTCTCGTTTTTGGTGAAAGCATAGATTGCCAATGGTTTTGGCATTGATGTGACAAACTTAATAGTATCTTCGATCTTTACCTGAAAGCCCACATGTACATACACCATCAACTTAGTATTCCCTTCGTTCACTTTTGTAAGACCTTTTAGACATTTAAGACATCATCTAAAACAGTTCAATTTCAGCTGTCCTAAACGACTTACAAAAGTGAACAGAGGGAGTATTATAATCTGTCACATAATATTTGTCCATTCGGCATACCGTGATGATAGGGAGCAGTGGGCCGAATATCTCCTCAGTCATGATGTCAGAATCGAGTGGAGGGTTTAACAGTATGGTGGGTTCAATTGTCCTGCGCCATAGGCATAGTGGCATGAGGCACCAATTTTATCCATTTATTTTGTACATGATATATCCATAAGAAGGATGTGGACAAATGGAGGTGAACTTACAAGGTCTTTTCGTTTACTGATCCCCCGTGCACCACTGAACATGCCACCCTATCATCATCCAAAAAGTTGCTTAACCTCCGGAAGTGCTTTGCGTTCAAGATCCTGGCCATGCACTCTGGTGTAGTGGTAAATCTCTTGACCGTTGATTTCAGTAGCTCAATCTTCAAAGAGACAAAAATTACTGCATGCTCAAGAAGCAGTCGGAAGATATATGTAGTGTATATGCCATGAGCTTGTATAGTATTGTAGTTAACTGGATATTAGAGTGGACCATACCAGAATAGGAGCAAATTTCTCCTCTACCAGGATGTAGTCAATGGCAACACATGCTTGGCCGGCACATACTTACCATTTCGCTCCCGCTATTCGATTCACTGCAATCTGTATAACCCGCACATGGGGTATATAGTTAGTTCGTCATTCATTGTGACTTGTTGCAATTAAAAACATGACAAATCCCTAAGAATTACCTGCCTATCTCTCTTACTATCGAGCTGATCAACAATGCACGGACATTTCGACCCAAGTTCAAGCGCAACAGGGGTCAAGTGCTTTGCTGCTTTCGTCAAAATAAGACGCCCTACATTGGCGCTTCCTGAATAACACAAAGATCATATACATACACGTAAGAACAATAATTTGATGGGATCTTGTCTATAATGACTGCTTTTGTGAAGAAGCAAGGTGAATTTTCAAGTTTGTTGTTACCGGTGAAAAGAACTTTGTCCCATCTGTGTTCCATGAGTTGTTCTCCAACTTCCGGTCCACCTAAGATGACCTTCACAGCCTTAGGATCGAGGTACCTTGGTATATTGGCAGCAAGGAATGCGGCGGTGGACGGAGCAAGCTCGGAGGGCTTTACAACCACAACATTGCCAGCTGCTAGTGCGCCAGAGATTGGCTCCAAAGCCAAACCTGCATTACAACACAACAACATACCCACATTATGTAACTATCCTTTTGCTCAAAATGGAGACAAGATAAGGACTAATTGTGCAAAGCATGTACCCAAGAGTGTGACATACACGCTTCAAGTTTCAACCATGATCGTTAACATCACATGAATATAGTTAGATTCTCCATGAGTAAACATCAATGCGGTGTTATACTTCGGGCAGATTCTTGATGACATGGACTTGAATTCCGCATACATTCCAACGGAGAAACTATTTTGCTTCCCACAACTATTGTTAGTAAAAATAATCGACATCTCTTTGATTTAATGAATACCGGGAACACATCACCACTTAAAGCATTCATAAAAACAATGAAAGGAAAAAAAATGCATGTTGTCGTGACTACTCAAGTCATATATGACTGGATTTATGCCCGATTGAGTTTGATTACACCACGGAAAAATGGATCATTTCCAAAAAAAATGTGTGGAAGGAGTATTTCCTTTGTGATAAGGACATCGACACTACGGTTACACCCACTTCCCTATAACTATGCTTGCTAGAGTACCTAAATACAAAAACCACATAAGAGAAATTGCACACCACAACTCATGTACCAAGTACTTCCGTTTCTAGGAATTATTCATATTTTTCATGAGTTGGTGTTATGACAACATGTATGCCATATCCTTATGTTTGGCACTATCGTACATTCCTTAGGAGTACTAATGGCTTACTAAAGAGTTGCATAACCTCCAGGATCCCGCCAACCGCGAAGACGCACCGTCGGCTGTGGATACAAGCTTGCAGCGTGAGCCGTGTCAGGCAGGAGAACAACGGGAACCCGGCGGTGAAGAACCCGTCCCTGGTTGTGCAGATGCAGGTGCGTGGTGTCAGGGGGCCCATTAACCCATAACCCCCCGCGTCGCCCCCGCTCGGGCGACTCGGGCGGGACGCAACCCTAGCCGCCGGGGCTCCCCGTCCTTCTTCCCCTTCCTCCGCCGCCGCCGGAGGACGCCGCCGGCCTATGGCCCGGGGGCTGACGGCGGTGGCGGGGGCCTTCCCTCTCTCCGGCGCCATGGGGGCGGTGCGGAGCCCTGCGGTGTGTGGAGGCACGGCCGATCTGGCCTTGGTGGCGCGGCGAGCCTGCCTTCCGGCGGCGGCGCGGTGGCCGCCTCGGCCTAGGGCGGATGGTGGCGGGTGCGGCGGCTGGCCCTACTTCGGGCAGCGGCGGCAGCCGGGTCGGCGGCAATGGACCATCCGACCTCGGTTCGGCAGTGGCGGCATGGAGGGCCTGGTGGTTGGGTCGGCGCCATGTGTGGTTTGCCCTCCGGACAAATCTGATCTGGCCGGTGCGATCTGCTCAATGTGCGGCGGCTCAGATCGGCGGCGACCCATGCACACGATGCTTGATGAAGGTTCCTTGAGCGGATCCGGGTGAAAACCTAGTTCTCGGCTTGATGCCAAGACCGGCGTTGGCGGCACTCTTTTGTGTCATTACCTTCTTGAAGGCATCGCCGTGGAGAAGCTTCAGACTTCTATCCGCTACCTCCGGGGGAAACCCTAGATCAGTAGATCAGATGACGGCGGCGCGTTGGTGTCGTTTCCTCCTTGGGGCGACATTCTTGGAGGCGTACACGGGTTCGAGGGACCAGTGGGCGGCTTGGTGGAGCGGTGCTTCATCCTGCACATTGATGACGGCGGATCTTGGCGGCGTGGTGCAGTGGAGACTTGGCGCCCGATGCGCGGTGCTGGACTCGCGCAGGAGGGGGTTGCTGTCTGGCGTCATGGTGGCGTCGATGGCAGAGTGGCCTGACAAGGTAGAAGCCTCAATATCTGCTCTAAGACGGACCAGTGGAAGATGGCGACGACGACACATGTGAGTGCACCTGACCAGTTCATGCCCCAGACCCAGTATGTGGCTCGGTTGGGGCTTTTGGCTTTTGATGATAGGCTTAGGTGAGTGGACTGGGTATTTGGCCCAGCTAGCGCCCCTTCATCATATGGATAGGAATAGTGGCATATGATGCCAAGATGGCGGATTCAGGCATATTGTTATAATACTTTGTAAGGTCCTCGAGAATAATCAATAAAGTGGCCGCATGCATCTCCCGGATGCAGAGGCCGGGGGTCATCTTCCTTTTCTAAAAAAAAATAACTTTTCGTTGTATTTGAGTAGTTCCATTGCCATATTAATGTAAGTTTTAATTTCTCTAGAAAAATGCGACTTTCAGGTTAGATGCAATGTTGTGTTAAAAAATGGTTAAATGCAATGCATGGTGTGAGGTCTGGACTGAGGATCAATAGACATCTTGAGCAGTAGTCAGGTTGTGAAATAAATTACCATGATGGCTCTAGTTAAAGAGGAAACCACAAAATACATTGTAACGCATGTTTACATTTTTCATACACATTGTACAATTTTCATATACATCAAGAGCATTTTGTTATACACTTTAAACATTTTTAAATATATGTTGATGCCTATTTTTTCATACATTTTCGGTACACATAAAACATTTTTATAGATGTTTAACATTTTTCCAAATATCTTTTTTTGAAAAAATCAATTCCTTGTTAAACATTTTTCACATATATGTTGAACTATTTTTCAAATGATACAAAACATTTTTTAAACTATGTGAACATTTCTCACATTGTATAAATTTGTTTAAATGGCTGAAAAATATTTTTGAAAAGCGTGAATATTTTTCAAAATGTATCGTACAATATTTTCAATGGCAAAAAACATTTTTCCTGAATTACACGAACAATTATTTTACAGTATACAATTTTGTCTAAAAATATCACATACATTATTTTAGAGACATGAACATTCTTTAAATGCCACTAACATTTATTTTATTGCTATCAATATTTTTGAGATTTACGCTAACAAAAAATTACACTGTGTTAACATTTTTTCAGATTCACAGTGAACATTTCTATAAAGTTTAAGTACATTAAGAGTTTTGAAATATATGTATTTTTTCCAAAGTAGAAAAAAATAGAAAGCAAAAAAACTCAATGAAGAAAGCACACAGAAACTACGTGTACGTACATGATTATGGACTGGCCCATATAGAGCGTCCTTGAGGAGAGACTAGCTTATGTCTTGCTGCGGACGAGACACAACCGTGCCCTGCTATGATGATCCTCCATTTCTTAGAGGGGGGCGCAGCCGATCCAACTATGCACCGACATGCTACACGGTACTTCAACTTTATTTCTTTTATTGGTCTATATATATACATATAGTAGTAATCCAATGGTATTTTTTATTTGCACCAGTATAGCCTAAATTGAAATGAACATAAATGAGATTCGTACTCAGTCAGAGAATGCTACCCATGTTGATGTAGCTACTTAGATGTGTATTGCAGTAAAGTCCCCAACTTTGGGTTTAACGACTAATATCCGTAGTGCACTTCCCCGCAAAAAATAAATATAGTCATGGTGCACACGTCGCAATTAGGAAACGAGAAAGAAAAGACAGCGCTTGTGTGGCTTGAGCAAAGAAGTCGGCGTCACCTAGTGGCAAATTCCAGCAGGAGAAGACGAGCACGACGCCGAGCGGCTCGGGCACCACCAGCGCGGTCGCCGGGAAAGAAACCAGCGGCGCCTGGGCCTACAATCAAAACAACAAGTCATGGCCTCTACAATCAAAACCAGCAGCCTGCTTACTTACTGATCAGGTTTTTCAGCGGCACCATGTGACACATGTGATAAGTAATCCAAACTTTAAAAAAAAAATCAGCGGCTGTGGCGGGAGCTTGCCTTCTCGGGGGCCGCCCATCCCTCGAGGTTTCTTAGCGTGTGATTGACGGACTTGACAAGAGCCCCGATCTGAAGACGGTGAAAGACAGAGGAAAATTACCAAATGGACGCAAGACAACCAACTTCACAAGACGCACTGAAACTGAAACTGAAACTCATGGCCAGCATGCCATGGATACAGACAGATTGCACCTGTACGGCTGTACGTACCTCGTCCCTGTAGGATTCGGCGCGGTGCTTGCCGAGGTCGTCGTGGAGCGCGTCGAAGATATCCTCCTCCTTCTCCGCCAGGAGCCGGAGGAGCCCCTTGAGCTGCGCCCGCCTCCAGGCGAGGTCCTTGGTCCGGCCGCTCTCGTACGCCTCCTGCAGGCCGCTCAGCAGGCCGCCGAAGCCATGCTGGGGATTCTCGTGCAGGCTTCCCATGGAGACGAGAGGCGGGCGAGGTATGGCTCACGAAGTGCACGCTCGCCGGTTGATGGCCGCGGTGTCGAGATGCTCTTAGGTTGTGGAATGAAGCGCGCCCCGGACGTTGTGTTAAATAGCGTGGAGTACGCCCCAACTAAATAGAAAACGAAAAATGCCTGTACGCCTGACCGTGTGGTTGAAATGTGGCGGGCCGTTCATCAATGCGGTGGTTTATTGTCACCGTAGGCACAGTTGGATTTGCGGGGGCTGTGCGTGACAAGGTGGCCGTTAGCTTGCCTGTCCAAATTAGACATAACGTGTGCATTACTGCTGTACTCCCTCCATGAACTAATATAAGAGTGTTTAGATCACTATTTTAGTGATCCAAACGCTCTTATATTAGTTTACAGAGGGAGTACTAAATTGTTGTGGTGATCGTTGGTTTGCTGACGTCCACCGTAGTCTGTAGCACAACTTCAATATGGTTGAAGCTCCTTTGCCCCAACCTCCACCATTGGCATGCCTCAGTTGTCAAGAGGGCCAAAGGTAAGCCTCACTCGCATTTTCTCCTTGCATGCATTTCTTCCTGCAAATCGTGATCTCACGGGGGCTCCTTCCTTTGGCCATTTCCAGCGCTAAGTTCGTATGGCATTATGGCTGCAGTGTATGGTGTTTGGCAGTGGCGGTGCCAGGATCAAAACCTTGTAATGTCAAGCATTACATAAAACAAACAAGTAGAAGTAGAAAAGTGGAGGGCCTTGCCTTGTGTTGGATCAGATACAGAGTGCAGACTAGTACAATAGTATTGGTCGATTGATTCAGAGTACCAGACAAACAATTTATGTGCAGCCGCGGGTGCGTCGCTCGCGGCTCGCCGGACGGCCCAAGGTGATCGTTCCTCGCGTCTCACGTCCAGAGTCCAGTAAAAGATCACCGGCGTCGGGACGTGAAGTCTGAAGACGGCGCTGCGGCGGCCGTCCGCGGTCATTGAAGAGGCATGCGTGAAGGGGAGCCAAAGATATCACGTAATTTGTAGATCAAGCGATACAGTGCGATCAGTTAAGGGATTTTGGACTTTCTTTTTGCTGTACGGCCCAATAATGACCCAACTAATTGATATACAAGCAGGGGGATAAGAGAATAGATGGGCTGTAAGTTAAATTGCTGGTTCAACGACGTGGTACATAGACGTGGGGGTCAATGTCGTATAAAAATCCTGTGTAGTCAAGCGACTACACAGTTATAACGTGGCCTCGCCACTGGTGTTTGGCTTGGCTAGCCGCTTTTGTCTAATTTAGTCAGTCAACTTTGATCAATCTTTTTTTTCTCGGTCGAACTATTGCAATTTAATTCTACTTTTGATCCAATCACGAACGAAAGTTGGACAGTCAACTTTCAATACAGATTTTTTTTTCTTCCACAACCTCAGGCTAAGCACGATGACCGCTTGATGACCTAGTGGTGGATTCTACAAGCAGTGGCGGAGCGTCGAGCAAAATCAAGGGTGGGCCAAACGGGATCACAAACAAGATATAGCCACGGAGATTAGCGGGAATCGGAAGAGACATTCCGAGACCACTAAACGACCACTGTCGACGATCAAACTTGATCGGACAGCCTATTGGGAGGTTTGCGCTAGCCCCGTGTCGTCCTCGTCTCAGGCGACTCGGGCGGCTCTTCAAACCCTAGCCGCCAGGGTCACCACCACCTTCCTTCCTTCCTTCCGCCGCCGTCGGAGGACGCCGCTGGGCTAAGCCCGGGGGCCGACGGTGGTGGCGGAGGCTCTCCTCCCTGGATCGCGTTGGAGGGGGTGGGGCGGGACCTCCACGCGCGTGACGGCGGCGCGGTTGCTTGGTGGCGAGCCGGCGGCGGCAGCGTGAAGAGGGCGTCGTGGAGGTCCGGGCTGGCCAGATCAGGATCCTGGGGCGGCGGCCCTGGATGGCGGCGGCGGGTGAAGCTCGGGCTTCCCGCGGCGGCATGCATGGCGTGGTGCAGTCCATATCCACGGCGGATCTGCGTCGGCGATCTCGTGGTTTTGTCACGGATTGGTTCCAATCAAAGAAGGTGATGAGCGCGCGGGATCCATCTCGGCGGCTCTCGCGGTTTGGCGAGGTGGGGTGGGAGTCCTCCTCCCAGGCTCCAGTGGTGGCACATTCAGGTAGTGGCCGGTGTGCCAGGGCTCCTACGGTGGCACTGCTGTTGCGGGTGGTCGCCGGATCTAGGCGGCTAGATCTGGGGCTTTGAAGGCGGTCGAGACAGTGCACAGGTTGTCGGGTGGATTTCTTGGGACGGATCCGAGTGAAAACTTGGTCTTCCATCGTTGGTCGGAGCCGGTGATGACGATGCCCTTATCATCGTTTCCTTCATGAAGGCATCATCGAGGTACAAAATCTCAAACCCACCCAATACCTCTGGGGGAAACCCTATATCAGTTGATCGGATGACGGCGGCATTCCTGTGTCGTTACCCTCTTGGGGGCGGCATTCTTGGAGATGCACTCGGGCTCGAGGGACCAGCGGATGGCTTCCTCGGTGGAGCGGTGTTTCTTTCTACATATTCATGGCCGCGGCTCTTGGCGGCATGGAGCAGCGGAGGCTTGGCGTCAGATGTGTGGTGATGGACGCTGCCTGGCGTCATGGTGGCGTCGGCGGCAGCTAGACCGGGCAAGGTAGATGCATCAGTACAGCTCTGAAGATGGATTGGTGGCAGGTGGCTGCGGTGGCCTCATACCCGGCAGGCGTCCTGGTTGAGGAGCACACCGGACTGGTGGGTGTCCATACTCGGCAGGTGTCCTGGTTGGGACCTCAGGTCTTAGATGTTAGGTTTGGCTGCAATGTCTGTTTGGTATTAGGCCTAAACTATCAGCGCCCCTTCATCAACTGGATAGGAGTAGTGACAGATGTTGCTTAGATGGTGGCTTTGATCTTAATGTTGTATGACTTTATACGGTCTTGTGTTAATAATTAACAAAATAGATGTATGCATCGTCCAGATGCAGAGGCCGAGGTAATTCCTTCTTTTCTAAAAAAAGCCAAACGACCACTATCACTGCCGAAACGAGCCGCTCTCACCGATTCCCTACCGGAGCCAGCTCGACCTTATAAATGACAAACTGTAAGTCTTTGTACACGTGCCTCTAAGGATCAACGCCATAAAGCAACAGTCATCGTCGTTGAATCCTTGCATACATCTAAAGCACCTAGCATCAAATCTCGTTACATGACGAGAATTTCAAACCTGACCGCCCTATAAAGACGATAGGTGTCGTGGTTCTAAGCCTGACAGTAGAGTGGGGGGTAGGTATGGAGAGGCAAGGTCCTAGCTATGGAGAAGCTGTAAGCACAAAGGATGTACGAGTTCAGGCCCTTCTCGGAAGAAGTAACAGCCCTACGTCTCGGAGCCCGGAGGCGGTCGAGTGAATTATGAATGTATGTATTACAAGGTGCCGAACCCCTCTGCCTGTGGAGGGGGGTGGCTTATATAGAGTGCGCCAGGACCCCAGCCGGCCCACGTAGGAGAGGGTTTAAGGTGAGTTAAGTCTGGGGCGTTACTGGTAACGCCCCACATAAAGTGCCTTTACTATCATAAAGACTACTTGATTACAGGCCGTTGCAGTGCAGAGTGCCTCTTGACCTCCTGGTGGTCGAGTGAGTCTTCGTGGTCGAGTCCTTCAGGCTAGTCGAGTGAATCCTCGTTGGTCGACTGGAAGGCGACCTCTTCTAAGGATGTCTTGGGGTAAGTTACTTGGAACAGGTCCATGACCCTACCCTAGGTACATAACCCCATCATTAGCCCCCGAATGGATTGAGGCTTCGAGTGAAGAAGGAGTTGATGCCGTTTCCGATTAACCTTTGCGCTCTGGTTGTGCGCTGTCCTGTACTAAAGAATCTCTTCGTCGACAGGAAACAACTTGACTTCAGTCGACTTGATCCATTCTGCTTTTGCGTCGAGTGATCTTTCAAGCTGCGACGATCTCCGAGCGACGGATCGCCGGAAACACCGTGCCTGACAGACTGATTTGTTGCTCGCGGATTCTGCGGGATGCGAAATTTGGGGGCGCGCGCGAAGCGGGGCGGACCGCGGCGTTCGGATGGGACAGGACATGGACGCCTCGATCTCCGCGCCGCCTTTTTCGCCACGTATCCCGTCTGCATAACTGTTCCAGATATGATTAGATCGACCGGGCCCACCTGTCATCCACTCGGAAGTGACCTTATAAATGTGCCCGGCGGGGATTTCTGTGCTGCGCCCCAGCATTCTCCCTCTCTCTCTGCTTCCTTCTTCCCTGCTCAGCGTGCTCGCTCTCGCCCCCGCACCACCTCCCTTCGCGCATCCCCCCGGCGACCATGGCCAAGGAGAAGACGGCAGCGTTGGAGCGCGCCAAGAAGGCGTCGGCGTCGGAGAAGGCGAAGGGGAGATCCACCAGCCGCGGAGGGTCCTCGTCCAGGTCCCGCCTGCCGAAGGGCTGGGTCCAAGGAGACTGGATCCAGTCGACCATCACAGAGAAGGACCTCCTCGACATGGCCAACGAGGGCTTGATCCCTCACGGAGCTGCGAGGTTGCCGGGGGAGGAGTGGCATCCACAGCCAGAAGAGGGTGAGTGTGTGCTTTTGGCCACTCATGTGGATCGTGGGTTTTCCTTGCCGCCAAGTATTTTCTTCCGTGGCTTCTTGAATTTCTTTGGAGCGCAGCTTCACCACTTTACCCCAAACTCCATTGCCTATCTTGCTGCATTCGTGTCCATGTGTGAGGGTTTCTTGGGCTGTCGACCGCACTGGGGTTTGTTCAAACATATCTTCACGTGTCGCTCTCAGACCGTGAAGAAGGCGAGCCCAGGTGATGAGAAAACCCGAGTCGTCCAAATGTGTGGGGGTCTGGGGATCCAGGTGAGGAATAAGAGCACCTTCCCGCCCATGACCTTTCCCGAGTCCGTTAGAGGCTGGCAGTCGACTTGGTTCTACTGCCAGGTCCAGTCGACGCCAGGGCAGTCGAGTGGACTCCCTCCGTTCACCATGGAC